ACATGTATAACCTATATCAGATTACTTGCTATCTTGGGTAGGGGAGAGGAGAGGGAGAAAAATTTAGAAATCAAACTCTTATAAAAAAATGAATGTTAAAAACTATCTTTACATGTAATTGGAAAAAATAAAATACTATTTACCAAAAAAATAGAAATAGAGAATGTTACAAGATGACTCTGTGACAGGTAGGCTTGAAGAAAGCCAGAATGACATCCAGGGGTCTTTACAATACACTCCAGTATCACAGCACAATGACTAGAAAATAGAGGTCTACGAAATATCAAGACAAACAGACACTGGAATTAGTCAATCAAAAAATCTATTTACTTTAAAAAGTCAATCAACATTGGCATTATGTAGATTATTCATTTGACTGATTAAATATGTCTTTATAAGGTGACAGAATGGTCAGCCAATTCAAACTTATGGACATTGCTAATATGATAATAAATAACCTTACATACAATATACTAACCATTTTAACTACCTTTCCAATTCAAATTGGCTTGCAATGTATACACAAATTACAATTTAATTTAACTTTTGAATGAGGCTGTTACTTCCCAACAGTAACATTTTAAATAATGTCTTAAGGTTTCAATATACTTTTCACCCAACCACTTTGTGAGTCAGGTAATATAAGTATCATTATCCCCTAGAATGGAAGTATAGAAAGACTCTGAACCACTTTGTGTAGGCTCACAAAACTAGTATTGGAACCAGAAGTAAAATTCACAGGTCTTCTGAATCCAAGATGCACCCTCTTTCCATCATACCTTTCTCTCACTACCCAAACAGCAGATTTAAAGAAAAGGAAAAAAAAACTAAAAAGATAGCAAGCCAAAATAAGAAGGTGATTTCCTTAAATGGTGCAGACAGAACTTGAATACTTCAGTTTTTCATTGGTTTTGTGTATATATGTGACACTGTGTACACTGAGGTCTAGGTTACATGTTTAAAAAAATAAATTCTCACTGGAAAACTTATGACAACATGAAGAAGACAGAATCCTATAGAGTAAAATGTCAAGCACTTAAAATTTTTAATAATATTGCTGTCTAATAAGCTTTCTATGTAATTGTAACTAGCATCTTGAAAAGCTTAGAAGTATATGATCAAGAAAATATTTAAAATTGACATGGAATTTTGATTTGGTACATGGAAATAATCTTTCAGACAACTGAGACAATTCCTCTTCTAAAATATCTAACTCAAATATCATCTTTCTTGGTTTTACATTTCCTTCACCTAGAAATTTAAAAAAGAAATCTAGGAAGTGTTACATCTGGGGAATCACTGGCACTGTTTAGTTTCCCAACATTAATTTGATACTTGAGAATGTGAATCTCCAGGGTTTTTTCAAAATATATCTCCATTTTTTTTTTCATGGAGAAAAACTGGTCATGAAGATTAAAGTCAAAACCAGACATAGAGCCTGTCTCTAAGATAACTAAAAAACCCATTTAATTTGGTTAATCTTATTAAATGTGTGATCAATTCTAAGGAAATAGCCATCAAGCTGATTATTTAATATCATCTAAATCCAAAATATGATTTCCAGCAGAATTTTTTTCCCCATTTTAATGGATTAAATACATGTCATATGATCAAAAATTATTTTCAAAAACCTCATTTATACTGAGCTTAAAAGATTGGGACCTATCCTTCTAGATAGATAACTTTGAATATAAGATTTCCTTGAGGTATCTTTATTTCCCACCATATCTAAAGACTCATTCATAGAATATGACTGAAGGTTGTCTGCTATTTATAAGAATTATCAAATTTAAATTACATTTTCTATATTCATGTTTGAATTCAAGATTGTACTTTTTAATCAATTTGCTTCACAATGGATATATTCTCAGAAAAGATAACAATAACTTCTGCAAATACTTCCATACTCTTTGGAAACTGCTCTCTTTTTACTCTAGTTGTGGAGTGCAGCTTAAAAATAAGGGGAAAATCATCTCTTAAATGAACATCCACAGGGAATCAACCTATCCATCCATGAGACATCTTCAGAGACATTAATTTGACAGACAGCTGAAATTTGCTATTTGAATAGTGCAATTAAAATATATGTTAATAAAAATGTAGCCTTTCTTATCTGTTTGGAAGGTCACTGAAAACAAGATGAAGGAGTCCCATGACCTCTCAATCCCTAGAATGCTGCTTTTTTAAATATATGAATTATAAAAGAACATTACTTTTAAATGGCATTCATACTCTAACAGAATGCATAACCCTGTTGTACCAGCTGGGAATTATGCTGAAAGTTAAAAGCTATCAAAGCTTTCCAAAGCTGTACTGCCTATCATTTCTTGAATATCTCCAAATGTTTAAGGTTAATTTGGATTTCATGCTCTGAGGCACCAATCAGGATAAACTCTATGGTTTTTTTTCTTTCTTTTTTTTTGGCATTTCCCGACATTGTTAATAAGCACAATTTCTATGAACTTCCTGGCACCATTTATTTTAGAAAATTGTTTATTCAAAGCTGTTCAGTTCTCTTACAATCAAGGGAGAGTAAATATTGGAGTTAAATGTAGAGAACACATATATGTAAATAACAAAAATTATAGGGAGAATTTCATACCCAAAGACACTTAGTTTGGACAGCAGTGATATCCCAAGTCCATATATCTAAATATTAATATGTAGTTTGAGTTTTTCTTGTCTATGAAACTTCAAAAATAGAGACATCTTTAATCGGCCATTATTTAAAAATCTATATAAAAGCAAAGTGAATTCAAATATTAAAAATACCATAATATTTATTTGAATTAACATAAGTTTCATTATATGGACTTGCATCAAATACATCCTCGTCTTTGAAAATGAAACCAATTAAAGAAAATACAGAGCCAATCAAAGTTTAAATTTTTAATCATACTGAATTATAATGCATATGTATGTAGGGCTTAAAAAGGTAAATAATGCCTGTTCTCAGTGGTTGATAACATTATCCCTATTTTATAGATAAGGAACTTGTATATGATCACCCAGTTAGCTAATTTTCAGAGCTAGGCTATGAGGCCAGGCCTTACCTGATTCTCCCCGTAAAAGGTTGCCTCCCACTAAACTAGTGTACTAAGTTTCTGTGTAATTCATGTAAAAAGACAACCTCTATTTTGGTTTTCAAAGCTGGCTCTATACTTCAAATAGCAGTAAGGACCTACATAACATAACACTCAGCCAGGTAACAATGCTCCTGCCTCTGGAAACAAAGTTAAGCTCATTTTAGCTTTCTTCAGCTTTAAATGAAAAACAGTGAAACTTTTGTATTAGTTTAAGAATTTCTTAAAAACTCTTCTAACATTCTGAATGGAAATTGACCTGGGTAGACTCTTGCATAGGAAAGAAGAGCACGCTACAATTTTCAATATCAAAGGAGCATAATGACGTCACGAGCAAGGTCATGTGTCCCGAAGGGGGCTCAGAAAGTCTGTGTGTGTGTGTGTGTGTGTGTGTGTGCGTGTGTGTGTGTGTGTGTGGGCGTGTGCGTGACTTGGCGCAAGAGTTCAGATTTTCTGCTAGATTCTGTTATCTATTGAACAAACAACATTTACATGGACGCATACATTTACGTATATCCACTCAGCATTACAAACATCCGATAAATCTGAGCTAGTGCACATCTGAGACTGAGATGCACATCCTAGCCTGAACTTTCCACATTTCCAGTCCAGTTTCAATTCAAATTGTATATTTGAGATTTCACCCCAGACCTGCATTTGGGCCATTCAGCCCACAGACTCCATCTGGATTGCTACAGGGCAAGTGAGAATTAATTAATTTCCTGAGTTCTGGGACGAAGAAATAGGAAGAGGATTTTTGTTTTGCTAAGAAAAGCCGTCATGGTCAAAGGTGGAGAACTCTTTACTCCATTCCCATTCCCACCTGCAAACCTGAGTTAAGAAAACGGATCCATTTTCTCCCAAAGAGTTCAGTGACCCTTCAAGTTAATTAGACCATTACATTGTTCACTTCCTTTAAAAAAAATAGCTTCGTTACAACTCTGTTGGCATACACATGCCTTTCTTCTTCTTTCACATCAATTTACCTTCTTCCAGAGGTAACCGTAATCTAATGACCATATATTTTCTGTCTGTCTGTCTGTCTGTCTGTCTGTCTGTCTATCTGTCTGTCTGTCTGTCTCTCTCTCTCTCTCTCTCTCTCTCTCTCTCTCTCTCTCTCTCTCACACACACACACACACACACACACACAGAGACACACACACACACATCCTGAACAGGAACAGGGTGATTGCCGCAGCAGCCCGCCAACTAAACAACCATCCTTTCCTGAGCACTGCTGAGCATTTCCTTCTAACTCTCCCAGTCACCCACGTGTTTCGTTCTTCCTTTCACCATTCAATTTACTTTTCCCGACTTGTAAAAGAGAAACTTGAGTTTCCTTCTCTGGGCTTTAATTCCAGCTCCAGCATGCTTTTCTCCTACTGCCCTGGCCCCTTCCTCACTCAACAGGCTAAGCAGGTAACTCCAAACAGTTTTGTCTCCTCCCCTCCCCACCACCACTCAAATGCCGCCAGTCTCAAGCCCCCACCTCACCAGATTGCTTGTCCTGGCTCCTGATGTGTTTAGTCTAGGGAAGAGCCCAGCTCTTTAAAACCAAGAGGACTGATAAGAGGAGAGAGCTAGGAGAAGAGGGTGGGGAACACAGAAAATTGGGAGGGAAAATTACATTTTAAACCATCTTTCTTGAGGGAGTTTAACAAAAAGCCACAACTATGTCTTCGCTAGATTCATACTTAAAAGTAAGCATAGACTTTCCATCCCCTTCTCCCGCCAGCCCCCTGCCCATCCTCCTACCTCCCACCATCAGTGAAAAGCACTCAAATGCAAGATAAATAGCTACAACTAGAGATAGGCACCCCAAAAGAGAATTCTATGGGTTCCTTGTTTGGAGGAGGAAGTGGGGAGGAGGGAAGAGACTCCAAGGGCACGGAAATACAGAGGAAATTCCAACTCACCGTCTGAGTCCCTGGAAGGATGAGGGCCAAGACATTCTGGATTTTTTTAAACCTGGTCGGTGTCCCGTCTCCACGGCATAGGATGCTCGGTCCATGGCTCTGCAATACAAGTAGCGCTCCGTGTCGGAGTAGCCCCTGTGCCTGACCCTGCCTGAGCTGCTGCTGCCCCCGTAGCGGCCCCGACTGGCCCCGGGAGGCGGCGGCGGTGGCGGCGGCAACGGAGGTGGTGGAGGTGGAGGCGGCTGCTGTGGCTGTAAAGGGCACTGGGGCTGGGGCTGAGACTGGGACTGGGACTGGGACTGGGACTGGGACTGGGATTGGGGTGGAGGCGGTGGTGGAGGGTGGTGGTGATGAGGATGCAAGAGGCGGAATTGATGCTGCCGGAGCTGGTATTGATAATGCTGCTCATGTCTCCACAGATGTTTGGGGGCTTTCAGTGTGGCCCCACTACCGGTACCATCGTTGCCCTCGCCGCCACTGCCAGCTTGAGTCGGCACACTGCTGCCCTCTGCCTCCATCCTCGCTCTTGGTCTCCGGGTTGCTTCTGCTAAGCCTGATGGACCTGGCTGTTGGGTGCGCCTCTGAGAATCTGCTGCTACTGCTGCTCCGACTGCTTCTTGAGCAAATAGGCTGAAAAAGCTGAGCTCCCACAGGCTGGAGCAACCAGTCTCTGAAAAGATGGAACACTAAGAAAGGACTCCAGCACGATCCAACTGACGATCCGAAGAAGAGATGACAGCGAAGCTCTTTGGTTCCCTAAGTCAGACACTGGGGCGTGTGGAGCTGTGCTTCTTTCCCTAAGGGTTCCCCCTTCCTTCCTTAGGCGGTGCTGCTGCTCTGAGAGCGGGAGCAGTTTGAAGCAGCAGGAGCAGCAGCGCCAACATTAGCTGCTTGTCTCCTCTACAACCCAGAAAGCCTGAATCCCGGGGCTTAGGAGCTGCTGAAAAGTTGGACAGCTCCCACTCATTCGCTCAGTCTATTTGTCTCTCTAAAACCACTTCAGCCAGTCAGGAGTAAGACTTGTCCTCCTGGTCCTTTCCCAACCCCAGAATCATTCCCCGCCCCCTTCGCTCAACCACCCCACGCCTCGGAGATTTCCTCTTCACAACTGTTTTGCTCAGTCTGCCTGGAGAAATTTGATTTGGTGATTTCTTGCTGGTTCTTAGCGTCTGCCAATGTTCTCCATTCCTGGACTCCAAATGGAAAGAAGCTTAAGATGGCTAAATTTCCCAGAAAGGTATGTGTGTGTCTCAGAAAAAATAACCCTAGGTGAAGACCCGTGATATCAGGGTTGATTCTGTTTCTTCCTCTGACACACAATTAAATATTTTTTGGAGCTTTCCCATAGCAGACCAGAAAAGAAAAGTGCTCTCAGTTTAAAGTCTTGGTCTAGGTGGTGGTTACTTCTCCTTCTACTGGTTCTATGATTAAGGTCTCCGGGAGTAATCCTGGCTGAGAATCAAGGCAAGGAGGTTTAATTATAGTGCCGCCTCTGAGCTCCCAGCCAGAGTTAAGGTTGGAACACCTTTTCAATTATAAAGCCCTGGTTATCAGTGGTTTGTACTGTAAATGCCTGCCTGCAATTTACCTTTCTACCACCTCCAGCAGAACACAGCTCTGTTACCAAGTTTTAAAAACATGTTTATTTCTGAGTGTGTGTTGGGGGTTGGAAGGAGTGATGGATTGGAATTATATTTAAATTTCATTATACTTTTATAATATCAACAACTTCAAATTTGAAACTCGTGTGTGTGTGTGTGTGTGTGTGTGTGTGTGTGTGTGTGTGGTGCTCCACTTAGACCTGTTTTAGAAACAAATCCAGGTATTTTAAAATTAAATTACCCAGCTACTTTCAGTTTTAGCTGTCTCCCTTCCACACCTCCCATGCCTTTTCAGGACAATATATTACAGTAATATTTATAGGCATATTCTCACTGTTAACTACTCAATGTTAAAATGGCTTTACTAGTAGAGTGATCATTATCTACATCTTACATATGGCTCATAGTCATAATTTTTAGAAAGGATGATTCTCTGATATTATAAAAATAATTTTAACTTAAAAATTCTTATACACTTTTATACACAGTACATAAGCAATATGGGCTTCTTAGAGGAAAAGACTATAGCTTTGACTGACCAGAATCCTCTGCACACAGCAGGTACTGCTTAAGTGCCTTTGTGCCATAGAAAACTATTAAATGTTTTTAACTGCTTTTTTTTTTTGCCAAGAAAGGAAATGTGTCCAAATGTATAAGTAATATACTGTCCCCTGTGTCTTAATAATGTAGGGATACACTTGGCATTCCCTTGTGGTTTTATGTGGCAGAGAAAATTTCCTTCCTTCAACTCCCCCTATGGCACTGTAGCTGTAAATCCATGAGCTTCAATGTACAAAATTGAGAGAAGGGATGTCTCTGGAGAGTAATAAGGCAGAGCCAACAAAACATGGCAAAACTCCTAGGTTCCTCTACAGCTTTGCATAGGTTTCAAGGCACCCATGAGTAGCCCATTCTTCTTGCCTTCCCATCATGCCTTAATTATGACTATAAGTTAGGTTAATGACAAAATACTTTTTCCATTCCTGGAAGATACAGTGCCTTCTCAGATATGAGGGCAAAAAAGGAAGTTATGTTTTTCAAATTCAGCCTTTGATAATCACACTTGAGTCTATTTCAAATAGGTTCACTACTTATAGAATTCTAATTTCTTTTCTTTCCCATGAAATATTCACCAAGTATCCCCTCAATGACATTTCCAAAAAGTCCCCCTCAAATTGAATCTTTCAGATAATAATAACATCTTTTCTAGGCTATATGATCTTTCTAAATAAAATAACCTGAACTACAAATGCAATCTTTTTTTTTTAGCTGCCAGTTTTCCATGGTACTCCACAGGTACAAGATCTTTTTTCCTCTTGTAATATACTCCCACATCACATCCTGAGTTAATAGTTTATGATTATTTTATTTATTTGGAAAAGACCTTAACAGCTATCTAATCTAACCCATACCTGGAATCCCCTCTCCAACTTCCTAGATAAATGGTCATTCAGCTTTCACTTTTTGCTCTTCCTTTTGTCCCCAGCTATAATTTCAAATCAGCTGCCCTATCCATTTTTCAGGAAAATGTATATGCATATCCTGGCTCATTCATATAGGCCTTTAAAATACTCACCTAATTTTGTGGATCTTCTTGAAATTCCAAAGGTAAATATAACAATGACTGGATAGTTTATATTGTTCAGGACTGCTTTGCTCACCTATCTCCTAATTATTTTAAAAGACATAGTTGATTTTGGCTGTGTATATACAAAATGAAAACAATCAATGAGTGAACAATTCTACCATTTTTTTTTGTTTACAGAGTCAGAGGATCATAGATACAGTTATAGGGATGTTAGAGGCAATCTAGTCAAATCTTCTCATTTTACAGATAAGAAAACAGAGGTATAGAGAAGTTAAGTGATTTGTCTAATGTCAGATAAATAGTAAGTGTCAGAGGTGGGATCTGTATAGAAACAATGACATCTGTGTAGAAACCCAGCACTTCTTCCCTTACATAATGGTAATTGAATGTAAATTAAATATTTGGTTTTTTTTTTCCATTAAATTAACCTGTTAGTTTGCTGTCATGTAGGAACATACTAGTAAAGCATATGTGTGAAAGTAATTGAGTACAGTATTAGGAACTAAAGTCAGTGTTTCAGAGACAGTGTCAACATAATAACAATCAATTGAAAAGCGAAAAATTCAGTAGGACAACCATTTTTGTTTGTTTATTTGGGTGTATTCAAAGTCAAATAATGAATTCATTATGTATTTGCACTAGATTGAACAATTGGCTTTAGTTTCATGGATATGTATATTTTATGGAAATATGGAAATCTGTATATGCATACGTGTGTATACACACAGTGGAGTATCACATGATTTGGTTGTTTATACAGTTCTATTTAACATGGAAAAAACAGTAATGTACTGGATAATAATCAGGATCCAGGATCTTAACAGGCTCAAATGGTAGAGTGAAGGTAAAAGTTGAGACATAGTAGATATGTCTTATATTTGGATTAAAACATTATTTATACAACTTGAGTCAAAAGTGTCATGTGTATATACAAATACATGTATACCTATCTTTATTGATAGATGATGTGTAAATATATGTATGTGCATATATATGTACATACATAATACACATATATGCATACAATTGCATTATGCACTTATATTAATTGGCTGCTTAGCAAACACCCAAACTTCTTATAAATGTACCTCAGTTTTGACCTAGAGATTCAATCACTGGATTTTATGTTAGGAGTTTTAACAAGGGAATAAATTATCATCACCTGAAATGACAGTTTCTGGCATAAATGACTGCAAATTAAAAGCTAGGCAGAGGATGTTCACAATTTTCACATAGATGAGAGACAAATAATAGCTTGCTGTTGATTATATATATATATATGTATATACACACACATATATATAATATATATTTAATTCAATTATTTGAAGAAGAGTATTGAAATGTAATGCCTTTCTACAGAAATCTTATATGTACCTATTTCATGTTCACCAAGATATGAAAATATGATGCTGTATGCAAGTAAAACTGGAAAAAAATTCAGTCAGTCACATGTTTTCTCATAACAAACCAGATATCTGTACCAATAGAAATGTCCATACAATGGACTGGAATGCTCAGGTTTCATTTATGCCTTTGACAATAGACTTAGAGTGTTTCTCTAAATTTCCGTTTCTCATTTGTAAAGTGAAGAGATTAATACTTCTACTTCACAGAATTCTTGGGGAGATAAATTGAGATAAATGCACAAGAAAGTATGAAATAATAAAACTACATAAGTATAAAACTGAATTTGTAGCAGAGAAACATGAAAAGACCATTTATTGCTTAACATTCTGATATACATAGTGATCCTCTATCAGCAATGGAGAATCTTCTCTAGAGGAAAGAGCAATAATTTTTGTATCAGGACATTCAGATTTAAATCCTGGCTCTGCCACTTACTAATTTTGTGTCCTTGGACAGTCTTAACCTCTTGGAACTTCTCTTTCCCTCATCTTCAAAATGGGGGGGCTGGTCTAGATGATTTCTTACATTTCTAGCTCTGAAATTCCATAATTGTAATTTTTCTACTCAGTAATAGTGTTTTTTAGAGCCAAGAAGTCTTATCTACTTAACAAATTTACTAATAATTCTTTTCATGTTCTAGGTTCACTTAATATAATATCACTTCAGAATTAATTTTACTTATGCTTCACAACAATTACCTTCCATGGACTGTAGCGTGCAGGAAGCCTACACAAGCTTACAGTCCAATAAGTACAGTTACTAATCAGAGCTTTTAAATACAGCTAAAAAAAAGTTAAAATTCCTGGGAAAATTAAGGAAAAAGGGTTTCCTTGAAATTTTCTTTTTTTGGAGTTCTATATTTCCTTTTTGTATGTTAGATTCATATTAAAAGTTTGTTGTTGCTGTTGTTGTTTTTTGGTGAGGCAATTGGAGTTAAGTGACTTGTTCAGAGTCACACAGCTCTTAAGTGCTATGTGTCTGAGGCTGGATTTGAACTCACGTCCTCCTGACTCCAGGGCTACTACTCCATCCACAGTGCTACCTGAGTGCCCCTTAAAAAATTTTTAACATAGCATTTCCTCTCTTACCTTAATTACTTATGATGTTTAAGTTTTACAGGAGTTCACAGGATCATCACAGATCTAGAGTTAGAAGAGACCTTGGAGATCATTTAGTCTAGGGGCCTCAGTTTACATCTGGGTGAACTGACCATTGAGGTCCACAGTCACAAAGGAAGTGACAGAGCCAGAATTCAAACTGAAGTCTCATGACTGCAAAAGCAACACTCTTTTGAAAGCATCATGCTGCCTCCTCTATAAACCTATAGATTAAGGAGACCTCTGTGTAACTCTAGTTTCCTTCAAAATGCTGATCAAGCATTACCTTCTGCAGGTAGCTTTCCAGATTTATCCAGTTGCTAATTCCTTCCCTTCCAAAATATGCTATATTTCTCTTG